TGAGGATTAAATAAATATACATAAAGCATAAAGGAGAATGCCCAGCATCTACTACAAGCTCAATGAATTATTTCCGATCAGGTCCCTTAGGTATGATAGAATGGGAGTGCCCTCCAAAGAGGCTTTCGCCATCGATGTTCCATCACCAAGAGTGAAGAATCTGATGTGCAACCCCTGCCTACTCCACTCTCAGCCTACTGCCCACCCCTTGCTACTCTGCTCTCAACCTGTGTGGGCTCTGCACCTGTCTTACTGATGACTGCAGCAAGGAAAAAGGAAAGGAGTAGGGTTGAGTGGTGAGTAGTAGTAAGTCCCACTGATGAAGCGAGTGGAATATCTCCAGCTAACTCTCTCCTTCCCTTGAATGGTTTTGCTTACAGGTATGAGGTTTCCTTCTCCCCACATTTTTGCTTCTTTCTCCCATTATAAACTGAATGCTTTGGCTTAGAACATGTGATGACTGACAAACAGAATTCCTTAAACACAAACCAGGCTAGGAATCTGATAGACTTTCTGCCACTGCCCTAAGTAGCTAGCAAAGCTCCTGCTGGCCTCTGGGTCCTCTGCCCTGGAATTCAGGAACTAGAAACTGTAAACACTGCATTTCCCTTTCCTTGAAAGCACAATAAGAGAAGAGGGATCTGGGCTCTTGTGACTTTCAAATATCCACAGAGTGGGGGTGACAAGTCCTCCCACATGTGGGGGGAACAGGCACGACCTCCCCTCATTTATCACTGGAATGGAACATTTCCCAATTTGAACATACCCCAAATCAGGTGCAGCTTCAAGGGCTGGTCTCCAGGGAGCCAGGTAGACAAGTTTTCTTCTGCACCAAGATTGGCTGCCCCCAGTGGGGCAGATGGAAATAATTTTCTGACTTAAGGCGAGTCATTAGGTCCCTCAGACATCATTATGTCGGCCATTTCTGTCTAGCCAGATGTAAATAACTTTAAGTCAAACCCGAGGTCCATGCCAGTGGCATTCCAATGCCCTCCCTAAGACTTCTGGGTATTTCTAAGGGACTTAAATGCTCTCGGTCACCTCTGCTTCCAGACGACCATGTGCAAGGGTGCTCTGTCCGTAACTTACAGACACAGACATAACACCCATTCTCAGCTTCCATAAAATCTCATACCCAAGGGCATTCGTGAGAGTAAAACATTTTTCCAAAGACTTGGAGGTCACAGAGAGAGGTGAGCTCATATTCCATAACACAGGCATGGAAAATATATTCATGTTCCTACTTTTAAGAGTCCCATCAGCTACTCGGTCCTTGAGAGCTTTACTCACTTGCGTTTCTCCCCATTCAGCACCTAGTCTCCCACCTTCTCTTTTGCACTTCTCATTTCTGCCCCATCCCTCTCAGGAACAGAGGGGAAAACCTCAACCATCAGTAGGGACTAGATGGCAACACAGGAGTGGGATGAGACACTGGGGTGTCGAGCCATAGAGAGGACCCAGTCTGCCTCAAAGCATTCAGGTTCAAAACATTCGTAAGCGCTGTGTCCTACTGAATGTTTCTTTAGGCCTTTTTGGCCTGAAGGCTGCCCATCAGCAGACCTTTGGCTCTACAGTGTGTCTTTGTCACAGCTAGCCAAGACAGAGCAACGGTGCCACCCAAACTGGACCTACTGAGGACTCTCTCCTCTCGCCCCCATGTGTGTTCTGGAGCCTTCATGAGTGAGCTAAAGTCAGCCAGGTACCTGGTGAGCTGGAGCTCCGGACAGTCTGGGCTCACCCCCGGCTCTACTAAGCTGTTGTGTATTATTTTTATATTATTATTGTGGGAAGATATGAATAACATAAAATTTGCCATTTTAATCACTTTTAAGTGTGCCGTGCAGTAGCTTGTGCAACCAATACCACCATCCCTCTCCAGAGCCCTTTCATGATCCCACAGTGAAACTCTATGCCCATTAAACAATAATGCCCCATCCACTCCCCACCGGCCACAGCAACCACTGTGCTACTTACTGTCTATGAATGTGACTACTGTCCGCACCACATATAAATGGAATCATACACTACATGTCCTTTTGTGTCAGGCTTCTTTCACGCAGCATAATGTCTTCAGGTTCATCCCTGTGGTTGCATGTGTCAGAATGTCCCTCGTTTTTAAGAATCAATGTATTCCATTGTATGTATACACCATGTCTTGTTTGCGTGTGGACGGACAGTTTAGGTTGTCGCCTTTCGGCCACTGGGAACGATGCTGCTGTGGACACTAGTGTACAAATATCTGTTCGAGTCCCTGCTTGTGTATACACCCAGAAGTGAAGTGGCTGGATCAAATGTTTAATTTTTTTTTGAGGAACTGTGCCTGTGCATCCTTGAGCAGGTCAAGAACCTCTCTCACCCTCATGCAGAGACCAGGGAGAGTAACAGGGAGAACCGCCTTGTGAGGGTGGGCTAAGGATCATCCCTGCATGGGAAGCACATGGCTCAAAGACAAGGCCCATCACAAATCCTTATGGGTGTTTAATTCCACTGTCCCCTAAATTTGAAAATAAAGTCATAAAAATTCTCCGAGAAAAAACAAAGTGCTCAAACTAAATGATCTCTAAAGTCACTCCCAGCTCTAAACTCCATGATCCCACCATTAAATTATTTTCCTGTTGGAGAAGCCAGAAGTTTTCAGAGTCTATATCAGGGAAACACCCTCTCCGTGGTCCCCACAAAAATCCACCCCTGCCCAGAAAGCCCAGTATTCATAGCTCTCTCCTTGGAATTTGCTAACACATCCCATTAGAAACCAACATCTAATTTTTCTTGCCACTCCTTCTCCCTTCCTTCTCTCCACATCCCCCCTCTCTCAGCGTCTTCTCTTGCCCACTGAATATCTGCGCTTCAAATTATCTTCCCCTATTGCCTTTCCACTCATTCCCCACAAGCTAATGTCTATTGGAAGCAACACTTGTGAAGTTATCCATATTAAGGTTTCATTCCCAAGAGTCCCATATTTTAAATGAGTTTTTCCTCTTGGGCAGAATCCTGCTGGCAGAGCTACCGCTATTCGGTGAAGTCAGTGGAGTTGGGTTTCTCCCTCACATACTGTTTATGTTGGGCTATCGCTTGGCCTGATGTTCGGCGTCTCGTCCTCCAACGTGGGTCCCATGCCGATGAGCAACAGCGATCTCCCGAGCCGCCCCAGCAGACGCTCCGGTCTCATCGAGTCCTCATTTTAGAAAAGCAATTAGAGGAGAGACACTTCCAAGCTTCTCCTGACGGGGCCAGATTTAGAGTCCAGCAGGGAGTGGACTCATTCACTACTTAAAGAAATATTTTCCTTCTCCACGCCATTCCTTCACCTTCCCTCTCCATGTGAGCGCTCCGCAGCTGAGATGTCCTTGCTAGACACGTGAAGTTGCTCTGCGGCTCAGTCAGCAGCGCCGCTGCCAAGAAACCACACACCCTCCCTCACGCTTTTCCACAGCAGAAGGTAAAAAAGAGCTTGAGTTAGGAATAAATGGGTTTTTCAGATCCTGGGGGGAGGAGAAAAAAGGTGGCGGGGGTGGGGGGGGCGGCTGAGCTTTGTTTTTGTTCTGTTTTATTTTTTTTAACTTTTATGGGTTTGAGACGCCTCACCTGCCACATTATTAAAAAAAGAAGCAGGGAAGTGTTGCTGTAGCCATGAGGAGACCGGTCCTCTGAGAAGGAACAGGGCTCTGCTGGCCCTGGCCTGGGGCCACACCGCGTATGGAGGTTCGGCTCCAAACGGCGCAGATGGAGCAGGGAGCGGCCCTCACGCACAGCGCAGCCCTACCACTGCGCAAGTGTCTGGGTTAATGGGTGATCAGGCCCCCTTGTGGGCCCCTTCTGTCTTCACTGCTGTCTTGGGGCTGTTCCAGATGAGACAAAATTCAAATGAAACCCTCCCTCCAGCTTGAGAGTAAATCACCAAGAAAGATTTCACCTGCGCTGGCAGGCTATAGGTAGGCGGACAGTATGGACCAAAATGAGGTTTTGGTCATGAATTGACTTTTTTGTTCACTGTCAGGAAAATTGGCAGCTAATTGCAACAATGGAGCACCCACCTTTCCGATAGAGCCCAGGTGACAGGTAATTAGCACAGGTGACAGGTAACCAGCAAACACGCACTCCCTGCTCCTATGCGAAGCTACCCTGTTTTGTCCTATGTGCACACTTCAACCTGACTGACCCCAAGAGGTCTCACCTTACCTCCTGACGCCTCGCCCCAAGAGCCACAGCAAGGACAGACGCTCCTAAGAAGTCTCCTTTTCCCTGCCCACCAGCGCCCCCCTCGCTTCTGCCTTCAGCTGGGTCAAGACGCCCCCAGAAGCTCCATGCCTGCTCCCAGCCTCCCTCGACATGGGTTTGTGGCTCGGAAAATCACATGTGAAAAACACAGAAGCCAGAGCTCTTTCTACACAGACCGTGCATCCCCAGAAATAACTTGCACTTTTAACCTCAGCTTTTTCTTCTTCTTTCTCATTCTTACCAGGAAGGAACTATACACATACGGCATGTGCTGAGTGAGGAAGTCTCCCAGGCTGGGAGCTGCTCTGAAGGGACGTGACAGTAACTTCTCACCAAGCAAGACACCAGCAGGAGCACCCCTGCCGCACGACCTGCTCTCTGGCTCATTTCCCTCCTTCCCACTCACCTCTGAGCGGGCTCTTTCCAGGGGAAACTTAGCTTTTGCAAGTCAGAGTGGGTAACTCAGACTAGAGAGATTCCTGGAGGTAATGTTATGCCTTAAGGAGCTAGAACGTGCAATAAAATAAATAAATAAAACTGCAGCCGGTACCCCTTCCTGAGGCAGTTTCAGGGCCACCAGTTGGGATGACAAAACCAAGTCACAGTCTCAGGGGCAGAGGCAGGCGCCCCAGCACCACCCACCAAGCCCTCAGGAGTGTGACTAAAAGAAGTCCCCACCCCCCAGCCCCCCTCCCCCCGCACCAACTGCTGTCCCACTCCCCACCAGACCCCAGCAGGGAGATGCCCCCTTACTGGGGAGCCCTGAAGCCCACTCACAGTACCTCTCGGCAAGGATGAGATGAGTAGGAGCTGCAGGAAAGTGAGTGCCAATTGCGTCCACCAGCCCAGCTCCATCGTTCCAGTGGCCAGTGCCCCGAGTGACTGCAGGGGAGGGACCGAGGGAGGTCGTCGGGCGGGCGGCTCTTACAGGGACCTCCCCAAGCCCCAGCTGAGCGGGAGCTCCGGTTTCAGCTCGCTGGGCTCTCCCATCCTCATCTGAGGGAACCACCTTCAGCGAGAGCAACGACGTCAGCCCCAAAACCTCTCCTCTCTGCCGCCTTAACCCTTGCGGGGCCTGGGGAGGTGTGGCCACGCGGGAAAGCTCGGGCTGTGGCTGGAAGGGATGGCTGTGGGCAGGGTGCAGAGGTCAGCGCAGGTCAGGCTGGACTCCCAGGCCAGGTTGGGGGAGTGGGGCAGATGTCCGGCCCTTGGATGCCTGGGTGGGGCAGAGGTAGGCGGGGCTGTGGGGCTGCTCAGGTGAGCCCTGGCGTCTAACAAGCATTTACCCCCTCTGCCCCCACCCCCACCCCCATCCCTGCTTTAGCCTGGAAGGGGAGTTAGCTGCCCTGCCTGCCAAAAGTGGTCTGGGGCTGGTGATGGGAGGAGAAAGGGAGGCAGCCCTCTCTCCCTTCCACCTCTCTCCCCAAGCTCTCTCTCCCACTAAGCTCTCCTTCCCGTTAGCACTTGCTCCAGGCGATCACAGTTTGGAAACCTCCTCTTGTGCATCTATAGGCTGCCGGAAAAATTCATCGTCCCACGATGCCCATCATGGTGAGCGCAGCAGCATTAATAGCAACTGCGCACACGCCTGGTGGGGCACTGGGCTCAGGGATAAAAGAACATGCGACGCTGCCTTGGTTGTGCGTGTGGTTGTCTAGGCACGGAGACTGCAATTGACATTTGAAGTGAGGAGGAAGGAGGCTTTACAAGACAACTGCTGACATTTTTAACCAACTTCTCAGCCCCAGGCATTTAGGGGACTTCCTAGGTAGAAAAGGAATCACGCACTAAACGGGAAAAGCCCAGGGGAGGCCTGCCTGGTGGGTGTTACAAATTCAGAGACTGAAAATAACCACATAGGATGGTCTGAAATTCAAAATTCCTAACTAAAAGTGAGTCATGGTGGGTAGTCACATGCTAGGCCTATAGCTTCCTTGGCAAAGGTCAATCTTTGCCTTGAAAGAGCCTGTCTCTTGTCTAATTGCATCTAAGATAACGTACCTTTAAATGTCCGCGTCATCTTTTCCAGTCCCCTCGGGGCACGCCCACCAAACCAGAGCACAGGCCACAGAACCCTCATTGTCACCTTGTTCCCCCCATGCCGTCTCTCTGTGCTGTAAAGGTCATCAACTATCCTGTACTCACCAATGTGAAGGTACGTGTCTCTGTGTTTTACTTTTAATCCAGTCCCAGAGACTTCCCTGCTTTGCTTTCTCTCACTGCCTTAGTCTACCAGTGGATTTCATGTAACTCTCCTCTTGTCTCCTCCTTTCACTCTAATAAGTTGCAAAACAGTCGTTCTCTGGAGCATTATCTCAATCTATTGAAATTTTGCTTCTGGGCAAGTGTCATTGGTTTGGCTCAAATAAACTCATAAAAATTCTCTACAGGGTTGAATGTTTCTTACATCAACACCTTATGTGTATTAACTCACTTATTCCTCACAATAGGCATATCATCTCCACATAGCACATAGGGAAACTAAGTCACTGAGAGTACAGGAGTTCATCCAAAGTCACACAGTGAGTAAAGGCCGGAGCCCCAGTTGGAACCCAGGCAGCCTGGGCCTAGAGGCCATGCTCCTAGGTCCCGGCTCTCCTGCTTCTTAGGATGCTGTGTACACAGCATTTTCTTACCATGATAGCCACCATGTACAATAGCTGGTATTTCCCACATAGTATGAATGCAGAAACCAAGGTTCAGAGAGAAAGTGACTCACTCTTGGTCACTTGGCTGAAGTGGCAGAGCAGGACCCACACCCAGGTGTAATTCAAGGAAAAGCTGGCACTTCAGGCCATGCTTGTTCCCGTGCTTGGTCCTGATTTGTACAATCAGAAGAAGAACCAAAGGTGAGTGGTCACTGCTGTCATTCAGGCCCGGGGGTGGTGGCCGAGGCTAGAGGTTCTCTGAGCTGGGGAAACCTGACCTGGAGACTGAGAGAGAAGTAGAATCTCAGTCCATGGAGGGAATGGAGAAAACTTTCTAGAAGGAAAGACTAAATTTGGCCAGTACAGTAGGGAATAATGCATGTTTACATGTTGATATTACAATTTATATTTATTCTTTCCCCAAAAATCGATGGCAACATATACCATTAAAGTGCTTGTTAGTGTATATATGCGAACAAAAGCCAACCCAAGCATGTAGACAATATGTATAGTTTGGATGTGACACAGAGCAGGAAAAGAGGAAGAGTGTGGCCCATGGTGGTTGGATTTTATTCTGTAGTTAATGGGAGGTGGTAGGGGCGTGAGGCAGGGGCGGGGCAGGGGGCATCTGGCAGTTTAGGAACAGGGGTTATTGGGGCCAAAGCAAAGTCTTAGGAAGAACTGTCACCCCGGTTTCCAGACTGAGGGGTGGAGGGGGCCAAGACTGGCAGGGAGAGGACAACTGGGGCTGTGGACGGAGGCCTGGAGTAAGGAGTAAGCAATGGGACTGGATGGGAGAGACTCGGGGAAGGAAGACTCCCCAGGGCCTGGGACAGACTGCGTGGGCAGGAGCCCTGACGCAGGTGCTCCTCTGGGGGAGAAATTCCTAAATCCCAGCCCTGCCCCTGGACCCACAGCAGTGAAGTAACTGGGAACAAGAACCCAGCAGTCAAGGACGTGAGTTCAAATCCTTGATTCATCACTTTCTGCCTGTCTGACCTCCAGGAAGCTAACTCCCTCTCTGAATCTGCTTTCTCATCTTTAAAATGGAAATAATAATCAAACCTACTGTGTAGACTGTTGGAGGAATTTGACGAGATTACATACATAAGGCCCTTGGTGGAGGGCTAGCTCACACTACGTGCTAATAACTAATTAGATAGACACTAACTATTATCTGCAGCATCTGCCTGAGACTAACCCTAAGGCCATCCCCATGTTCTGAGTCTTCTTCCTCACCCTTAACTTCTCTATCCATGCGAAAGTTGTTTAAAACAAGCACCAAGAGTAGCCTTAAAAGCGAGGGGAAATACCAAAGGACAGCATATCTAAGCAGAGGAGGGCAAAGGGTAGAAGAGGGGTGGTTTACTTGGCATCTGGTCAACCAGCCCTAGTCCCTTGGTGATGGGAGGAGGGAGGAGGTGACTTAATTTCCAAATAACAGTGGGTATTAGAGCCTCTCAAGGGCCTGTTTCTACCATCAACTGACAGTCCCTCTTCCTTCTTCCCTTGTCTCCCCTCTCCCCTACATGCCCACAACCTCCCTGGGTTGATACCCGGCAGCCTCATCCCTACAGAAATTAGACCCCCAGCAGGGTGGGGTTCAGCTGATGAACCTGACTGGGTGCTCCCTAAGAAAGTCCCTGGTGCCAGGTGTTTGCTTCTCCAGGCTCATGGGCCTAGATACAGACTTCTATTCCCGGAATGCCCTATCCACAGGAGTCACTGGTCCCTACTAGTGTGCTGTCACTAACTTGGGTTTATAAATTTCCTAGGGCTCTGAAACCTGGAAGGGAATTTGCAAAAAGGCAGGAGACACATTTCTCTGGGGACCTCAAAGCAGTGATCAGATACGATTTTGTTTCACTTTACAATGTATGTGGGCTGATAGAGGAAGAGGGAAGCTACTGTGAATTTGACAAGGCAGAAGTCAGTAGTTTGCCAGGGGCTGGACGGCCCTACACACCTTTAGCTTCATCTCTTCCCTCCATGGTCAACTCAGTTTTTCATATTGATACAGTTTAGTGTTGTTCTAAATCAAGGGTTCTTCACCTGGGTTTCCTGAAATCTGTTTGGATGGAGTTTTTAGATGGCATTTGAACCTCTGGAAATTATATATTTTGCATGCTTTTTCTTGGGGGGGGGGGGGGGAGTGAGAGGGAGCCAGAGTCTTCCTTAGGGAGATCTGCAGACTCCCAACTTAAAAAAAAAATCACTGATCTTCATAAACTGACATTGAAAAATTGACCAAGTATTTGTTGAATTTGGCAAAAGTAGTTAACTATATAAGATTGTTGACTCTGGGCTGTAACCTGCACAGTAATATCTACTATTTGAAGACATCCCCCCCACTGACCCCCCCACACACTTTTCTCTTTCTACTTTCTACTTTCTACTTCTCTTTCAAGGATACTTGCTCTGGGTCGCATGCCCTGTGTTGAATCCTGATGGACCACTTACTACCTGTGTACACCTGGGCAGGTTATTTCACTTATGATAGCTTTAGTTTTCTCATCTGTGAAGTGGGAAGAATAATATTACCTACCCCATAAGCTCAGAGTAAAGAGCTCCAACAGTGCTTGAAGTACACTATGCACTCATTCAACATTGGCTATTTGCATTACGGTTATTTCTCCTTCTGCCCTTACCCTCTGAAGAATAAACCACTAGAAAGGTTTGGGGTATAAAAGCCATGCTAGGAAGCAGGGAATAATACCTGAAATTAAGAATTATCTACTTAAAATCAGTACTGAGAAATCCACAAGTGGCTATAGTAGATGGAGTCAGGCCACCCACTTAATAACAAGTCACAATACCCACCAATTTTCTCATGAAAGGAGGAGGTACCCTAACAAAACCTGCACCTTTTCAGTGCCTCCAGGCACATGCTATTTGTATGTGAATGCACAGAAAGAAACAGCAGAGAAGGCTGTCTTGTGAATACCAACAGCTCCCTATTCTCCAAGCTGTAACTTTCACAGGTCAGCCGCTGAGCAGCAACCATACAGAGTGGGAAAGCCAGAAGAAAGAGCTGGGGTGGAACTGGTCTGCAAACCTGAGAAAGGCATCCCATATTGCTGGCAATTAAGTTAGGGTTCCATCAGCAGCACAACACACAAAGTTCAAGGCAACCAGGGCCAGCGATAGAGGATAGGTCTGGGAAAAAAGACAAAGGGCCCTTCCACCAGAGCCTGCTGTAGCTGGCCCCACCGTGGAAGTCTCCAGCTCTAATAAATACCGGCTGTTCACCTACTCAACAAGCAATAATGTCCTGCCTCCAGATCTGGCCCAGCTCCACTCTCTTTCCACTGGGAGCCAGGCAAGCGGGTAGGTGCGTCTGTGGTTCTTTCTCTGGACACATTCTTCTTGCTCTATGTCATT